TAGTTATAAACTGCCCAACCCTTTATACAAAGAAACAACTAAGGAGTTTGTGTGATTTAACTCTGTACAATAACTTGAAGCTTTGAAATGAGTAAAACATTCTGTACTGTAGCTATTTTAATCTTGCTTCAGAACTAGATATCTCAGCTGTGCAAGCTACAATATTGATTCATCTGGGTGGAATGAAATATGACTAGCAATAGTGATTCAGAAAATTCTGTTGATCTGATTTCCTCTCCCTCCCACTGCTCCTGACCATGTATACCTTAACCTCCAAAATTTCAGTTGATGATTGAAAAAAAAAAAAAAGGCTCTGAGATCAAAGCAGTCATTTCAAAACTGCTGCAAATTTAAGCCCATAGTTTCCCCTTGAAACTGGAATAAATTTACAGAACCACATGAATGGATAATGGTATGGGGGAATCACAGCCATCACCACCAGATGCAATGAATATCCCACCTACTGTATGAGCACCCAAGCATCCTTGGGCAAAGCCTTCACTGCAAATTGGCGTACAGGCATAGTAACATGCATGTGTCATCCAGGATTGTCTAATACAAGAAAAGCGCTGATAACTGACATTTTTTCCTGACTTTGTTTAGTAAGGGATGTAATAAGTCCGTCTCTTTCCATTCAATGGGTGGCATCGTCACGCAGCTTAAGGCTACTTCTTCTAACAGCAAAAAATTGGTTTTTTAAAGGGATTTTTTTTTTGAGTCTGTAAATGGAACCAACCATTCAAAGAAAGTTTTAAGGTGATTTGTTCAATTCCCTGGAATAATTATTCTCAGATGTTAGAGTGACAATTCAGATGTCAGCATTCTAACATTGCTGGTCATTTTAGCAGACACATTCAGCTCATGTACTTATCTATTTTTGTAGGTCAAAACGAAAGCAATTTGGGGGACTGTAACAGAAATTTTCTTTCCTTCATCAATTTAAAAAGTGAAGTATTGTGAGGAGTGATGTGGAGTGCCATGCTCTTGCTCTAGGTCACTTGGGGCAAGTCTACACTAGAAACTTGCAGCACGGCAAAGGCATTTGAGGATGTGATTTTTTGATATCACTAGTGTGGCAAAAAGACCTACTGTAATTGCAGTTTTATGTGTTTAAAATGCTTTTTCCAGTACCATTATTCCAGTACTCACCAAATCCATGCATCCTCTCTCTCCTTCTCTCTCTATTTACAGGAGAAGGATGGGTGCAGACCTGAGCTGGAGTTGACCAGATGTACAACCATACGCACATCATATGAAGCAGTAGTAAATACTGTTCTGGCCAGTGCTAATGAAAAGGCTAAATCAAGACTCTTGGCCCAAAGCAGGGAAGAGTGTCATCAGGAGAAGAAATGGTCTTCTGCAGGCTTTCTCTGACCCCACTGCAGGATATCAGACAAGAAGAAAAGAAGCATTTTTGTTTATCCATTCAATGCTATACCTCTGAATGTGTAAACAGATTTCCCAGAAGTTTTATCACCTCATGCTACTCAGAGACCACATTTAGAGCTGCGAGGAGCAATCTGTCACTACAAACTGTCTGCAGCTTCAGTTAGTAATGCTACAGTTGGGTGAAAGCTAAATTGTACAGTAATAAGCAAGGGAAGAGGATATAACAATTGAAACTACCAGGACACTGTAACAACTCACTTTTAGATTCTACTTTTATACATCTTTAAAACAGTATTTCCAGGGTATTTTTTTCTTGCTTATTACTTTACATTAAAAGTCATTCTTAACTGACACAAGAATCTCAAGTAGGATCAAAGTAGCTGATTATACTGATGAAACACTGGAATTGGTTACACACAAAATACTGTCAAATTACCTAAATAAACTGACCTGAATTTAAGAAAACATGTTTTTATAAGTGTATTTTTCAAATTTACTCGTTCCTTCTATTAATTAAAGTGCACTGTTCTTATACTACATGTAATTTCTGATATCACTGTGTATAGTCACTAGAATAAGATAGCATAAAATATATAAATAATACATGTCACAATAGTATCTATTTTCATATTTCAAGTGTATTAGGAAACATGACTTCCTTTCTTATTCACACCTTTTCCTCTAAAGACATAAAAAGCAGCATCCCCAAGCGATTTTCCACCATCAAGTTCAGGAGAGACAGCAGGATGAAACTCTGTTTTTCAACAGATTCCTCAATTGCATCCAAAGAAACTCAATAAAACATTGTAATAATAGTCTGAAACGTGTCATTTTAGCTTTAAAAGCACGATGGGAACAATTACACGAGCCTGTCTTAGCCGCAGTAATAGATAAAACAAATGTAAAAAAACAACTCCTCCAGAGAGCTTCATCAAAGAAAACGCTGGCAGAAAACAGGCCTACAATCACTTTTAGCCCTGCCTTGACAGATGACGTTGGATTCCAGTCCCAGCAGTGACATTTCTTAACTGCTCAGACCTTGAAAACCAGCGTTAGAACCACTGTGATTCAGGTGCTCATCTACGAAATGACTCTCTTCCCAGAACACCTTCGTGCTTGTGCTGCTACTTTGCAGACGACTTCAAAATACCCCGGCTGGACGGATGACGCTGTTTGCTAGGCATCACGCCTTTCACTACCCTTGTTCTAAGAGAAATACTATCTTACATGTTAAAGGCTAAGCTGCAGAGTTCAGATGAAATAAAGTATCTTCTTCTTTGAAAGATGCTGCCAGTTCTGCACAAACACAGAGGAAACTGTCAAAACACAATCTAGGTGCCAAAGTACAGCTACAAAACACTTACTAAAATCTTTTAAAAAGCAGGAAAGACGTGATTCATGAGACAGTTGAAGAATTTTACTTACATAAGTGCAAGGCAGAGACTTGAATATGCTTTTACATTTATAAGAGGTTTATATTTAGCAAATAAAATTAATATTCAATTCCTCATCATTCAACTAATTCAGTCCCATGTTATGACATCAATTATTTTACCTTTTGTTAGGAAAGGATTTGGCTGATATAAGGGTTTTGTCTGCTTCAGGGAAATCATTCTGTCCCAGCCACACTCAGCAGCTTTCTCACACAAACTCACAGACCTCCTACTGTGGTCCATTTCAGGTACATCTCAAGTCCCAGTTCTGAAAAACAAACAAGTAAACTAAAAAACCCTCAAACTAATAATAAACTCTCCTTGCTTATTTCTAAAATGAAACCTGTTTTTGCAGCATTGGGTTTTAGTAGGATTCTGCCTCTACTTACTTTTTAATTGGATATATATCTCTTTGATGTTACTTCATTAGGGATGAAGACATATTTGCCAGTGAGATTCAGTAGAAACCATTTTTATGATTATTCAATATTTAATCTCTGTGTGAGTGACATCTAATTGTTGTTGACATTTAATTGCACGAATTTCTAAAGATCCCTTTTGTTAAAGAGCTTGCGGTACAGCACAGCAGTACAGCCCCATGTACCCTCACTCCAGGATTCCAAGGTTGTCACTGGAGAGAAGGTGATTCCTAACCTAGGCATTCTGAGCAACTGCGCAGTGAGGGAGTTTACTTCTGCTGCTTATACAGAGCCTACGCAGGCTCCTCACTTCAGACAGAGTAAAAAATACCAAATGCCCATAATGTGCCTGTCCTGCTTGAGCTACACGTAATTTTAGATCAATGTAGAAAAAAAAAAACCCTGATGAATTATGTTTTATGCATATTTGTATATGTTTAATTTTCCTACTAAATAAATTCTGCTGGTTGCATCTGCTGTGTTATGTTGGAAACGAAGGGTGGAACTTCGAGAGAAAGACGTCTTGTGCCTGTCAGATGCTCCCTCCAGCCTGCATGAGGTACTTGCGCAGCACTCTTGCGATGTTTTCTTCAACACAGCCTACACATTCTGGAGAACGAAATGCTTTGGGTGCCCTTTGAGCTATGGGCACATAGTTCTTTCAGAGCTGGAGGGGAAGTTTATTACCTGGAAAACGTATCATTCTCTCCTCTGCTCTCATCAGATATTCCAGTCCAAGCCCTCTTCGGCACTCTTGGCGTTATCACACGTAACTTTTTCATGTATTTATTTATGGGGTTCCTCCTCAGACCAATATTGCGCTCTGCTGCACACCCTGTTGCCTGGGACTGAAGACAGCCTTCGTTCTTGGTTGGAAGCCAGTCCAAAGGACAGTGCGACGAAGCTCTGTGATGGTCAGGGACACGCAGCACTGGCACAGGAGCACGGTTCTCAGGTTGCAGTCTGGAGTCTGGGTTAAAGGGGCTCATCTGCAGGCTTACAGTCACAGTGACCTCCTGACGATGCTTGTCTTTGAAACATCCTTTGGGTCTTCCCATGGATAAGTTGTGTTCAAGAGAAGAGACGTATCTTGCTCCCTGAGTTATTCACAGAATCACAGAATGTTCGGGGTTGGAAGGGACCTCTGTGGCTCATCTAGTCCAACCCCCCTGCCAAAGCAAGGTCACCTACAGCAGGCTGCACAGGACCTTGTCCAGGCAGGTGCCCCTTGTCCTGTCGCTGGGCACCACTGGAAAGAGTCTGGCCCCGTCCTCCTGACCCCCACCCTGCAGATATTTACGGGCATTTCTAAGGTCCCCTCTCAGCCTTCTCTTCCTCAGGCTAAACAAGCCCAGCTCCCTCAGCCTTTCCTCGTAGGAGAGATGCTCCAGTCCCCTCATCATTCTCGTAGCCCTCCGCTGGACTCTCTCCAGTAGCTCCTCATCTTTCTTGAACTGGGGAGCCCAGAACTGGATGCAGTGCTCCAGATGGGGCCTCACTAGGTAAGAGGGGGAGGAGAACCTCCCTCGATCTGCTGGCCACACTCCTCTTAATGCACCCCAGGATACCATTTGCCTTCTTGAAGTTCTTGTCACAGGGAAGAGCTTTAAGTCCCCAAACAGAGGTTGAGGTAGGGCAGGTGGAATTCCTCCGCTCTCTCCTACAGCAGAGGACACTATGTACGGCCAGATCCCTGGACGCTGAGAAAAGACTCAGACACCAACAGCCTCCCCCGATTTCTGCGCAAGGCATCGGGCAGATGCCAGAACACCCTCAAGCTCCCAGACAGTGGGTGTTTGTGGTGAACCCAGAACATAAATGGACGTTTACATTGTGGTGAATGGTTTGGTGATCCTCAGGCTGTGCTGAGGTTTTGTAGAGCTAGGTGTTATGGCAGGGTTACTACAGCAGGGATCGGTGTTACCATAGTAATGTGGTATCACACAGCTTAAGTTTTAATTACCCGAATCTCCTGTGTGCTGTCAACATATTTCCAAAACACCAAAAGTAACCCATCCCAATGATGTGGGAAATTGACATTTAGTTCAGTTTTGCTATAGCTTTAGTTTTAGTTTGTTATATAGCTCTGCAGCCATGTGGAGGTAAGGGTTAACCACTGCCATACGGTTTGCTAACAAGGACTTCTGTGAGCTCACATGTAAATCACAAAGACTGCTGCAAGATAGATGAAGGGAAACTGGGATGGATAAGGACTGATAACCAGAAATTTATTGTCTATAAGAAGCATCCTTCTAGCTGAAACCGGTTCTGCGGTCTGGGGCTCAGCCAACACAGACAACTCAGGAATTTTGAGCCAAAGGTAAAAAGTACACAGCGAGGAAGACCACGAGCCTTTGCGAGGAGGACTACGAGCCTTCATCCAGAAGACCCCCATAGACGACCACCAGATGACACTGCGCAGGCGCTGAAGAGGGGTGGAGTATGATAATGAATCCTTAGAAATAATTATAATAATCACGCCTATTCCTAGCAATAATTACAATAATCCAGCCTACTTAGATAAACCTTGTAATAAATAGGCGCACGCTTTGTGACTCGGTGTGCAAGTCAGGAGGAGCGATCCCCCTGGCACCCGGCACCGTAACACACGCACCCGCTCTGTAACTCCCTGTAAGTTGCTGAGTTTGTATCCGCACGGCACCAACAGCTCCCCCGCGAGCGGAGCAACGGCCTCCCGCGCCGCCCTTCAGGCAGGCCTCCCGCAAACCGCCCTTCGCAGCGCCTGACTTCCATTAACGACGATGCTTACCAAGCTCCACGGCTTACCAGGCCCTACGAACGACGGCAAAACCCGTCGCTGCCGCCTCCCGCCAGGTTTTTTAACGGGACGGCGCGTTCTAACGCAGGGCACG